ATTGAATTAGGATTTCTCATTTGGATTAGGTCTTATTTACTTGTAGCTATAATCCAAATTGTACCTTATCATTTTTGATAGACTTCAATGGACCTAAAAAGTTATTATTTCTATGAGCTGGTGAAAATGAATTCCAAAGTGAATATCAATGTTAATTATAGATACAAGAAAATAAGACTTAATCCATTGAATTAGGATTTCTCATTTAGATTAGGTCTTATTTACTTGTAGCTATAATCCAAATTGTGCTTTATCCTTTCTTTATGAGAAGCTAAAACATTAGAAGATAGACACTGTAACAAAATTTTCATAATCTCAAACACAGGTGGCTTCCCCATTGTTGTGGAGAGCATCATTGCTGCAGATACCGCAATGGTAAACAAGTTTCATATTATGTATTGTCCTGTTTTATATAGATATTCTGTATGAAATTACTACATCTATGAGGTACATAAATAAAATATTTAGCAAAATTAACTTTATATTCCTATATACAGTAGAACCTATAGGTAAAGGACAACACCTATTTACAGAGATAAAGTATTTATAATACAATGCAATATAATGCTGCTTGTGATTGTAAAACAACATTTGAAAATTATCCTGCGTGTGTTTCTTTTCAACGAAAAATCAAAATCTATTTTTAAGGAGAAATAACGATTATTTCTAACCTTAGAGATAAGGTATGAAAGGATGAATTGGGAAGAGTAATGATAAACGGAAAAATAAAAGTGTCCAGAGATGGGAAAAGTGTCCTTTAGGGAGAGGTGTCATCTTACCGGAGAGTTGCTAAATAGTAAAAATGGCCGTGATAAGGCACAATTTGGATTATAGATTATAAACACAAGGTAATAAGACCAAATCCAAATAAATAAATAGTGTGTGACGTTTCAGTAACAACTTTGATACCATCTTCAGACAAAATTTATGAAAACACATTCAGCATTTTTGTCTGAAGAAGGTAACAATGCTATTACATAAAGATCACACACTATTTATTTATTTAGATTTGGTCTCTTATTCCCTTGTGTTTATCATTGAATCAAGTTTCAATACCAGGTACCCAGTGAGAAAGTAAAGTTTGGAGAGAAATTACAGTTACCTTCTAAATGGAATACTCGAAAGTAAATGGAAGTTTACATGTACTGTGAGGATCATTGGGAGATTGCTATACTGAAGAGATACATTTTGTAGAATGAAGAGAAGAGTAGACCAAGAAAGGATTGGTTTAATCATCTAATAGAATGGCTGCATATGATTGATAAAGAGCAGGAGGGACAAGCACCAATTCTGTCCTCCCAAGAGAACAGCAATCCTTGATTTCCAGACTTAAGTCTGTTAACTCCGCCTTTGCCCAAGCCCCCAAGCCCGGATGAAAAAGGAGGAGGGGAAGCAGTAACAAGCTCACTAAAAAACCTGGGCTCAGCTGGCCCGGCTGATAGTACCCTGTAAGGGCTCCTAATCCAGGGATACAGGATGAGCAGCGATTGTACTCCATGTTAAGAGCGGCTGCACATGGCGTCTGTAGCTCATGTCTGAGGCGGCCATTTATTCTGGAGCTAAGTTGGCCTGCCACTGAGTGGTGCTCCCAGTCTTAATGACAAAGGCAGACACATTTTACTTCACCCAGTCATGATATCAAACTTTACAAGCTTGATACCCTAATATGATTGAGTGGAGATAAGAAAGAATAAAAAGAAGAGTCTGTTCATCTATGGACAATAACTTTCCAGGAATGGTTGAAAGTTTACCCACTATGTACTAAGAGCAATTCTCAACCTGCAACATCAAACCACATCATTGACTGTATTGGCTCATCCATTAATAAGCTCTACTCATCCCTAGAAGACACCATCAAAAGTCTCAAGCTCTACAAGGTTGATACCTTAATATGATATAATGGAGATAAGATAGAATGGTCTGGAATTAGAAGACAAAGAGGTAAAAAATGATGAAGAACAGGGTCTAGTGGTGTTTCATCTCAAATTAGTAAAAGTGAGTCCAGAGTGCGTACAGAGAAGCCAAAACCAGCTCATACAACATTTCTTATCTCCCACTTCCTCTTCCCAAACAATCCTTCCTTCAAGAGACCTCAACCGACGCAGTGCCACAAAATGAAACCTCTCCACAACTTTTTCTTTAAAAACTCATTTCTCCCTTGATATAAACAATCTTTCTCTCTCTTGATCATTATATAACCATATTCATTCATATTCATATTTATTCTGTATTTAACCTTATATAATCTTATATGTACTTTGTAATAAATCAGTTTCAATCTCTCTATCTCTCTTGTGCACAAAATAATAATACATTATAATTTTTTTCAATTGAACTAACTAAAATTCAACATTGATAAGGCACAATTTGGATTATAGATTATAAACACAAGGTAATAAGACCAAATCCAAATAAATAATAGTGTGTGATGTTTCTGTAACAACGCTGTTACCGAAACATCACACACTATTTTTTTATTTGGATTTGGTCTTATTACCTTGTGTTTAAAATTCAACACTTACAATAATTCAACCAATTTTTTTTTTTTAATTCCAACCATTTACCTTTCAAATTACCTCATCCTTAATTCAGCCAACTATAATTCAACACTTCCAGCTATAATTTAACCTTTTTTTTTTCAAATTCCAATCAATTTACAGTCTAACTTCTCTTTTTATCAAAAATCCAAAAAGGGGATCATAATTTTCGGTTGAATTAAGATAAGGCACAATTTGGATTATAGATTATAAACACATAAGACCAAATCCAAATAAATAAATAGTGTGTGACGTTTCGGTAACAACGCTGTTACAGAAACATCACACATTATTTATTTATTTGTATTTGGTCTTATTCCCTTGTGTTCAGTGTTGAATTACAGACAGTTAAGATTATTATTTATTCATTGCAACATTCAACTGTCTGTGGACATTCTTTCTAGGACAATTTGTAGCAAACACTTAGTGGTGTTGAAGTAGGTGGTGAATTATAACAATAGTTTAAGTAAAATGACTGATTGGGGTTAGAAAAAAAATGATGATTGAATTATAGGAAGTGTTATAGTTGGTTGAATACTGGAGGAATAGGATGATGGTTGGGACTTTGAGGTAGAATCGATGAATTGGAATTCCAGACAGGGAGGGGGCGGCAACCTTTTGAGTTAGAAGAGTCAAAAATTACAATTTACAAAATTTCAAATTTTTCAAAGAGCCACATTTTTTTCTTGCCAACAATAAATAGTACTCGCATAAATAAACACAAGGTAATAAGACCCAATCCAAATAAATAAATAGTGTGTGACGTTTCAGTAACAGCGTTGTTACCATCTTCAGACAAAAGTACTGAATGTACTTGGTTTTATTACCTTATGGGGGTCGGTGGAAGGGTGGTCTAAACCGTTGGTTTTCGACCACTACGATCCAGGTTCGATTCGTGTATTGGGCACTTTTTTCTGATTAAAAAAAATGCTCCAATGGCCCCCGATTCTTGCAAAAGTTCAACCCCACCAGCGAGTGCAAGTAATCAAATGGGGCTCTGGCACATTTGTAAGTGCAAAGTTGAACTGCTTTTCACATGTGTAGACATGTGGTGCACTTACAGTAAATGCAGTCGCCTACTTCTACCCACCATGATTATCATGGCCTGTACCAGGTGTACTAAGGATAAGGAAAAAAATAATAATATACAAAATTTCAAATAGTCACAAAATTTTTTGCCAACAATAAATAGTATTCGCATAAATAAAGTTTTTATTTAGGCAAGTACAACACACAACTTCACATCCAAAGAGTCACATGGGGCTCGTGAGCCGCAGGTTGCCAACCCCTGGTCTAAGCTATAATGATAGTTTATAGTGTTCCTTGGTCAAGATAGAATCAATGGTTTAATTAAGATAATAACGACACACCTCTTTTTATTAATTGTATAAAGTATTTTTCAGGCTAGCCCTTCCTCAGCAAACTATAACATAAAAAAAGGTAATGAATAGGGAGGTAATCTAAGGATGGATTGGTCTGAAAATCTAAAGTGTGAAAATAGGAAGAGTTGAAGAGACTTGTGAAAAACTGAGTATCATGATATTCAATCATCCGCCTTTGCCAGTCCCAAGCCCGGATGAAAAAGGAGGAGGGAGAGCAGTAACAAGCTCACTAACAAACCTGGGCTCAGCTGGCCCAGCTGATAGTACCCTGTAAGGGCTCCTAATACAGGATGAGCAGTGTTTGTACTCCATGTTAGGAGCAGCTGCACATGGTGTCTGTTCCTCATGTCAGAGGCAGCCATTTCATATTGAAGCTAAGTCAGCCTGCCACTGAGTAGTGTTCCCAGTCTTAATGACAAAGGCAGATGCATTCTACTTCACCCAGTCATGATGGTTGTCAAACAGACACCATCAAGGGTCACAACTCGATACCCTAATATGATTGAGTGGAGATAAGAAAGAAGAAGAATCATGGCTGACTTCAGTGATAGAATTATTATGATGATGACAAAACTAATGGTATATTGTTAGTATTTTAGGTCACAGTTATGTTTGTCTATACTTTGCCTAAAGATACACATGATCTCAGAACAGATGTTGTAATACACTCTGCGAGTCATGCTTAACAAGTTGGCTCATTACCCATTCTTTATTGGATTAATTATTATCCTAATTAAACCATTGATTCTATCTTGACCAAGGATCACTATAAACTATCATTATAGCTTAGACCAAGGGTCAGCAACCTGTGGCTCCCGAGCCACATGCAGCTCTTTGGATGTGATGCTGCGTGTAGTACTGGCATAAATAAAAATTTTATTCATATGAGTACTATATTTATTTATAATACAATATAATGCGGCTTATGATTGTAAAATGGCATTTGAAATTTATCCTGCATTTGTTTCTTTTGAACGAAAAATCAAAATTTATTTTTGAGGAGAAATAACGATTATTTCTAACCTCAGGGATGAAGTATGAAGAGATGAATCGTGAAGAGTATTTACGAACGGAAAAATATGTCCAGGGTAGCCTAGTGGACATGGCATCTGCCCGGTAAGCGGAACACTGTGGGTTCGATTCCCATCCTTTGACACTTTTATTTTTTCATTTATCATTACTCTTCACAATTCATCTTTTCATACTTCATCCCTGAGGTTAGAAATAATCATTATTTCTCCTCAAAAATAAATTTTGATTTTTCGTTCAAAAGAAACACATGCAGAATAAATTTCAAATGCTGTTTTACTATATTTATAGTTGGCAAGAAAAAAGGTTGTGGCTCTTTAAAAACTTTTGTAATAAATGGTTCGCTTCTTTCACGGGAGATGGCGGCAGCTTTTAGAGAACAGCACATCATGCCGTCATGTGAGAGCGAGCTACACTGATAGAAGTTTGTTTGGGGGGTCGGTGGAAGGCTGGTTAAACCGTTTGGTTTTAGACCACTAGGACCCGGGTTCAATTCCCGCATTGGACACTTTTTTTCTGTTTAAAAAAAAAAAATGCTCCAATGGCCCCCGATTCTTGCAAAAGTCCAACCCCACCAGCGAGTGCAAGTAACCAAACGGGGCTCTGGCATTTGTAAGTGCAAAGTTGAACTGCTTTTCACATGTGTAGACATGTGGTGCGCTTACAGTAAAAGCAGTCGCTAACTACCCACCATGATTATCATGGCCTGTACCACGTGTACTAGGGATAAGCAAAAAAAAAAAAAAAGAAGTTTGTTTTTCACTTTCCTACAGCCAGCCAGCTAGCTGGGATATTTAAAATATGTTAATTCTGTTATAAAATTTATTTATTTTTTTGTATTCCAATAAGGAAAGAAACAAGGTAATAAGACCAAATCCAAATAAATAAATAGTGTGTGACGCTTCGGTAACAGCGTTGTTACCATCTTCAGACAAAAGTACTGAATGAGAAATTTTACCACAGCTTGTTTTAAATAGCTACTGTTATCAAGTGTGTAAACAAGATAACATATAAGAAGAAGATATTTATCTGAGAAACACAGAATATTATTCTTAGAATTAAAAGTGGAAAAAAAACCCAATTTTTTTTTTCAAATATAATTAAAAGCATATCTATAAATATCATTTATATTTCCTCTTTCTTCCATTCTGTTAATTGTAGCACATTTCTTTTGAATGAAAAATGCTTCTTTAAATTGTCTCTTAAGATAATTTTTCTCATAATCTAGTATCTATGTTTCTTTTAGGTTAAAATTATTATGCCCTGTGATTTTTCTATGTTCTACGAGTGCAGAATTATCAATTTTATCCCATTTCATATTTTTAAAGAGCCATATTTTCAAAGAGCCTCAATTTTTTTTTTTCTACAGCCCTTATCCTACAATGTATGTAAATTGAAAGAAGGGAGGATAATGGCTCATCAGTGGTGAACCCTCCCAGCAGTTTCACCATTTTAATCTGCAGACCGCTTCACTATTGTATTGGACTGAATATCCTATATACCTTTCACTTGCTATTGAATACAGTAAATTGGTGTTTTGAACAAACAATAGACATTCAGTATTTTTGTCTGATGAAAGTAACAACACTGTACCGAAACATTACACACTATTTAATAAAGGAAATAAGACCTAATCCAAATAATTTATTAGTGTGTGACGGCAACAACATTGTCACCATCATCAGACAAAAGAATAAAATCTTTTATATAATAGATTTTAATAGATTTTTAATTATAATAGATTTTATTCTTTTGTCTGATGATGGTGACAATGTTGTTGCCGTCACACACTAATAAATTATTTGGATTAGGTCTTATTTCCTTTATTATAATTTATAATCCAAATTGTGCTTTATCATTACACACTATTTATTAATTTGGATTTGGTCTTATTACCTTGTGTTTCTTATCTATAATATCTAATCCAAATTGTACCTACCCATAGGTTTCAATTTTTATTCATTGTAGAATAAGGGGGCTGTAAAATTAAATTTTAATTACATGAATATTTTAGAAGAAAAGTAATGTTGAGAATATATATATATATATATATATATTATTATATTATATATATATATATATATTTTTGTACTTTTCAATTCAATCTAAAAGTTGATGGTCCAATAATCTGAGCTGATTTATTAAGTGATGACAGGGACTTCTATTTGGTTTAATTATAAGTACAGATAACTCCGCCTTTGCCGGTCCCAAGCCCGGATGAAAAAGGAGGAGGGGGAGCAGTAACAAGCTTGCTAAAAAACCTGGGCTCAGCTTGCCTGGCTGACAGTACCCTGTGTAAGGGTTCCTAATCCAGGGATACAGGATGAGCAGTGTTTGTACTCCATGTTAGGAGCGGCTCCACATGGCATCTGTTCCTCATGTCAGAGGCGGTCATTTCTTTTGGAGCTAAGTCAGTGGCCTGCCTCTGAGTAGTGCTCCCAGTCTTAATGACAAAGGCAGACACATTCTACTTCACCCAGTCATGATGGTAAGAAAGAAGAGATAAGTACAGATTCTTTATAAATTGAATTGTTGAGTAGCAAGTTCTTCCTCTTTTGCCTTTGCCCAAGTCCGGATGAAAAAAGGAGGAAGGGGAAGCAGTAAGGAGCTCAAAAAAAAAAAACTTGGGTTTAGTTGGCCGGGCTGATGGCGTCTGTTCCTCATGATAGCCATTTCATTTTGGAGCTAAGTTGGCCTACTACTAAGGAGTGCTTCCAGTCTTAATAACAAAGATATCAGTATTTTACTTCACCCAATTATGATGATTCTCAACAGACATATGATTGAGCAGAGATAAGAAAGAAGAAAGCAGGTTTAGTTGATTTCTTTTTTTACTTTTTGCAATTGAGGAATTTCATTGTCAACTAGTGAAAATTTGAAGATGAATAAATTCATGATAAGACACAATTTGGATTATTAAACACAAGGTAATAAGACCAAATCCAAATATATAGTGTGTGACATTTCAGTAATAGTGTTGTTACCATCTTTAGACAAAAATACTGAATGAATCTCAAGTTATATTCCCATATTGCCAAAATTTTGAAGCACTATATAGAGTCTGCATTCATTAAATGGTGGTTTGAGCAAATTCACAGAGGATTTCTTGATTAAAACAAGTGAAAAATCATCAAATGTGTTGCTACATAGCATCCCTTATTGAAAAAATGTACATTTATTTAGAAATAAAAATGGAAATTTTAAGGGATTTTATCAAAAATTGGAGCGGTTGAAGACTCTAGCTGTCATTGTGGCAACGAATTCCAGGATTCAAGACACCTACTGCTGGAATGCCCACTCTTTTCTAGCGCTAGACAACAGACAATAAATAATGTTGTATATCTATATCAATTTGTAAATAGCAGAGAGAATTATCATAGATTTAACTATTTTTGTAGATATATTTATGATAGTCTTTTGGGCCTGAAAGGTTCAGGTTCCTAAGATATATTATTTTTTCTCTTTTTTATTTTTAATTCCTTTTCTTGTATAATATGTTTATAACTGTTTCTGTTTTAAAAAAAAAAATGTAAATCGACGCAATTATCCCTAGCCGGGATATTGCGTTTTGTGTGTTGAAATAAATAAAAAATGGAAGGAAAAAAAAATTACATTAGAAACTTGATAAAAACTTAATCAGTTGATTTAAATCTCCTGGATATAAAGCAAATAATACAACAAGTTTCTTTTCATTTTTATTAATGCAATCTCAAGCTTTCAGGTATATCTGCCTAAATTCCACCTTTGCCGGTCCCAAGCCCGGATGAAAAAGGAGGAGAGGGAGCAGTAACAAGCTCACTATAAAACCTGGGCTCAGCTGGCCCGGCTGATAGTACCCTGTAAGGGCTCCTAATCCAGGGATACAGGATGAGCAGCATTTGTACTCCATGTTAGGAGCGGCTGCACATGGCATCTGTTCCTCATGTCAGAGGTGGCCATTTCTTTTGGAGCTAAGTCAGTGGCCTGCCACTGAGTAGTGCTCCTAGTCTTAATGACAAAGGCAGACGCATTCAACTTCACCCAGTCATGATGGTTGTCAAGTCTCAAGCTCTACAAACTTGATACCCTGATATGATTGAGTGGAGATAAGAAAGAAGAGGCATCTCTGCCCTTCTACAGGAGTACATAAAATGAAACTCCTCTCCAGACTCTTGTATTATTTAATTAAAAAACTTAATCCCCAATATTAGTGATCCTTCAGTCTAACCTTGTTAATTTGCCCAACAATAATTCTGACACTTGCAAAAATCCAACCCCATTTCTTAATTTAAATTTAACAATAGCATTAATAAATTGTTTAAATACAACTTTATCACTAAATATGCATTAATGCGACATTCTAAGAATGGTATACTTTAGGGTTCCCCTTAGAAATCAATTTTATTCTTATCTGCTATCATGTTCACACACTTGATAACAGTGTTAACTATTGAAGAACCTGCTGTAGTATATTTTTCTTCATTCAGTACCTTTGTCTGATGATGGTAAAAACGCTGTTACTGAAACAACATACTAATTATTTGTATTCAGCCTTATTACCTTGGGTTTTTATTTTCTAAATTTATTCACTTCCTTTTCATTGCAATTATTCACTTTAAACTCCGCCTTTGTCGGTCCAAAGCCCGGATGAAAAAGGTGTAGGGGAGAGCAGTAACAAGCTACTAAAATTTGGACTCGGTTGAAATAGCTCCTGATCCAGGGATACAGGATGAGTCTGTACTCCATGTTAGGAGCGGCTGCACATGACGTCTGTTCCTCATGTCAGAGGCGGCCATTTCATATTGAAGCTAAGTCAGACTGCTGCTATTGATTCCTTCTTCAAGAGAAGTGTCCGCTAGCAGAGTGTCCTCTAAAGGGAGGTTCTACTGTATTTATCTTATATTAGTGTTAAAGATTATAATCTGTTTTATCATCACAAGGTTTAATGTATCCATAATTGTGGGTATAGG